AGTATGAGCTCAGCAATCATTCTGGCTTCCTTTTATATGGCTGGCAAGTTGGGGACTTTCTGGCTTTCAAGAAGGAAAAGTTTTATCACATATTGTGAACTTTAACTAGCTTTGGGACCTTGGTTACCTCTTCAGGCCTCCAATTCTTCATTTTTTAAATGAAGTTGTTAAGCTGGAAGGACTCTTGTTCTTCTGAGTATATGACTCTTTGATTAATTATACTTGTAAGTGGGGTGGATTTTTTGACAACTATGCTACCAAAAGTAACCCAGAGGAAGAGAAAGGCAAGGCTATACTCTGACTTTAGACTTTAATTTCTTGAAGCTTTGCTTGTCGATGATATACAGAGTTATTCTTATCTTTTGGGTTTGTGTCTTAAGCATCTCTGGCTCCATAATATTTCTTTATTGTTGACATTTTCTTGTGTTATTTATTTTTCCAGTTTTAAATCCTTAATTGAGTATATATGTTAGGCTAAAAGTTTTCTCATTTGAGAGGACCCATGTGGGATTTCAACCCACAGTTTAAGAAGCACTGAAGGGGTCGCGAATGGAAAAAAGTTTGAGAAACCCTGAACTAGATGACCCCCAAGGTCCCTTCTCAATCTAATTTGAAGGAAGAAGACATCAATTTATGGTGATCATAAGGAACAGGAAAATCTCACCACTTAATATTTTTATAATATCAGCCATCTCTTTTCATAGTTTGTGTGCAGGTGGAGTAGGTGGGTAACCCATGCAAATGTTTTGTGTGCACCTATCGTATTTGGAAAACATCTACTCTTCAGTATTTGAAAATTTTGAGTGGAGACTTGAGTGTGGACATTTGAAGAAAGAATGACTGAAAATTTTTATGTTTGTTTGTGTAACTGTTACAACTGAGAAGTTTCTTCCAAGTTCTCATTAGTATTGAACAACAAACCCATGCAAGAATGAGCTACTCTTAGAGCCAACATTTGAACTCAAGGTGTCATCATTGGATAAAAAGATAAATACAAAATGTGGAAGAAAGAAGAAAAAAAGTCAAATCAAGCATTTATTAAGCACCTACTATGCACCAGCCACTGTGCCAAGCACTGGGGATAAAATTAACAGCAAAGATAGTCCCTCTCTTCAAAGACTTCACTGGCAAACAACTATATATAAACAAGATAAATACAAGACAAATCGCAGATTATATCAGGGAGAAAGTACTGTATTTAAGGAGGCCTGGGATAAATAGGGAAAAAAGGAGTTGACCTACAGGGTGGCAGATGTTTGTGAATTTGAGAACTACCCTCTGGAGCCACACAGTGAGATCAGTGCTAGTGGCTGCAGCTTCTGGCATGGCTGGAACGTCTCTTTCTTCCAAATACATGTCTTTTTTTTTTTTTTTTTTTTTTTTTTACCAATTAATTCTTAAAGTTGTACATCAGAAGAAAGAGGACAGGTGTAAACAACCTGTGACCCAAGTGTCAATGGTAAGGCTACGTGGTGTTTGTTTTGCAAAGCTTCTGTGTTGCTCTTTTGGAACAGACCCACACCTCCTGCATAGCCTGATATTCCTGCCTGGAAGTTCTGAAATTTAATGCTAGCAGGCATCTCCAGAAAATAAAAACATTGCTAACCTCTAAGGAAGGAAGTGTAGAGCTTGTTCTATTAATTTAGCAACAGCCGTCTTGATCCAGGGAATTGAGACAGAAACAAATAACTGTGGGGCACATTTTGATAGTTTTCTTAAGTTTTCAAGAACTTTTCTCACTATGACTCTGTGTGTAGAAGTATTATTAAAGCATGTTTGCAGAGGAGGAAACTGGAGCTCAGGAACAATAATGATTTTTTCCAATGAGTAAGTCACTGAGGCAAGATTCAGACTCAAATTTCCTGACTCTTAAGTCTATTACACCACCCTGCCTTTGTAAATTAAAATCCAGCTGACATATTCACCGTAACTGTACCTCTCAGATTCTGCCCTTTCTACTTTTTCTTTCCCAGAAGACTGAGATGGAGCCCATAGAGGTGGTGGGGAAATGATATTCTATTCTTGATACAACATCTTACAAACTTAGAGAGGGCTGTCTTCAGAAGAGTTATAACAATACATGTTTTCCATTCTGAAGGCCAGGGTATTTGGTTTGATGAGGTTTTTGGTTTGGTTTTTTTTTTTTTGGTAGGGAAGATACTTTTCAAAGTGGTCAATAGACCCTTTTCAAAGATGACTGGACACAGGAAAACTTTCCAGACAATGTATGTGTGATAAAAATATTCATTTCTCTCAGACAACTTAGCACAGTCATTCTATGAAACTAAAATCTATAATAATAATATACACCAACTTAGTGAAGTTTGGATTCAGTCAAAGAGCCGCACTTGAAGATCTAGAGGGCCACAGAGTCCTGCAGGTTCCCCACCCCTGGTCTAATGGAACTCCAGTGGTATATGGTCCTCTTCCCAGAGAGGAAAGACAGGGAAGTGATTGAGGAATCTATGAAGTACAGCCCCTGAGTCAATCAATTAATCAATCAACAAGTATTTACTAAGTGCCTACGGTGTGTCAGGTACTTCACTAGGCACTGTACTTGTATTGTACAAAGAATGAAGTGATCCTTACTTATAATGACCTTATATTCTAAAGGAGGAGACAAAAAGTACATGTGAAATATATACAGCATAAATGTAAAGTGAGTAAATACAACTATATACAAGGTATTTAAATGCAAGGTAGCTGGGGAGAGAGGGCACTAGCAGTTGGGAAACTCTGGAAAAGCTTTATGGTACCTGTACTTCATCTTAAAGGAAAAGAAGGACTCTATGATGTGGTGGTAAGGAAGGGAGTACCTTCCAGATATGGGATATGGCTCAAAGAAATTCGACCAACCCATATGTTTATTCTTATATGGCATAGTCATGATTAGTGTAGTTAAAAAGTGACCGAGGTTTGCTTACCTTGTATGGATTCATCTTTAAAAGCCTACCAAAACACAGGCTTCAAATCATTATTAAGTGAAATGCAAATCAAAGCAACTGAGATTTCACCTCCCTCTCAGCGAAGCAACAACAACAAGACAAACAGCCAGAGCTGGAAGCAGAAACTATCTGAAGACCTGTGATAGTAAGGAGTTAAACCAAACACATGCACTTCAATACCCCTTGTTCACTAACTCAGTTTGCAAGCTATGGATAAACCCTCTATTTAGATAGATCAGCTAACTGTGAGTCTCTCTTTCTCTCTCTCCCTAGACAAGTAAAAAGAAATTTCCCCATGAAAAACTAAGGAAATAGATCACTATAATCACTATAATCACCACCCCCAAACAATAAAAATCTTCAGGCAATTCATTTTAAGAAATCTTTGTATACAAGTATATAATAATAATAATAGCTAGCATTTATATAATGCTTTACATATATTACCCTGCTTTGAGCTTTGAAACAAACCTGTGAGGTAGGTTCTATTAATATCACCATTTTACAGATGAGGAGACTGAAGCTGAGACAGTTTAAGTGCCTTACCCAGGATTACACAACATTGGCTATGTAGTGTCCAAGGCAGAATTTAAATTCAGGTCTTCCAGAGTCTGAGGCTAGTATATATATTCTGCATGTGATATAGCCTATCACTTATGGAATGCAAGCATCTAATGGTCTAGCACTATCCTCAAATACTCTAATGGATTGTTGATCTCAACAGGAATTCCCTTCTGTGATGAAGATCACAACCTATCAATGTCTGCCCATCTTTCTCAACTCCTGTCCATAAGTTTGCCATGAGGGGTTCACCCAATGTGTTGGAAGTCTTCCATTTTTGCCTGGCATTAAGAGGCAACATACTTTGTTTAAAAATTTTCTCAATAAAATTTTCTCACATGGTAGGAGCTTAGTTCACAATCTGAAGGGTAAGGTCCAGGTAAATTATAGAGATTCTCAAATTAGACAAGTCATCAGATTATAGACCATTTGCTGGAAAATAGGAGCAAAGTGGGTTAGGAAAGCAATTGTATGCTCAGGCATTGAAGGATTTTAAATTCCAGGCAACTCAGCACAATTTTTCAGGAGTTCACACTTAGGCCACTACTTCAGAAACATTTAAATCCTTGCAATCTCAAAGATTTGCCTTTTTCTGGAGCTGCTTAGTTGGTAGGTTCATATTTACACGCTCTGGCATATTTAGCAATCTGTCGAAGAAGAAAGCCAATAGGCTTGGGAAAGGGATGGAGAGTAGAATATAGGTTGGCAATTATGCCTATGTAAGCACACATTTTTTTTTAATTTCAGAACTCTTCAGAACTCTTTAAAAACTTCTGAAATAATGGATGATCTTTATGGATCACATTTTTTCTTATCTTTTTTTTTCTCATTTATCACCAAAAAATGAAACAATTTTTGTTTTTCTAACATAACCCCAAGAGTCCCAAATGCTAATTCAATCACTACTGGACTCAAATAGTGTTTGATCATGAGAAAATTGTCTTATTTTTACAATGAGATCTAAATATAGTAAAAATGTGACTAGGTGTCAAGGTGACTAGGCAGCCAGGTGATGCAGTGGATTTTGTGTTGGACTAGGAGTCAGAAAAGCACCCAGTTCAAATCTTGCCTCAGATATTCACTAGTTGCCTGGGCAAGCCATTTAATTTCTCTTGGCCTCACTTTTCTCATCTGTAAAATGAGGATAATAAGACCACCTATCTCACAGGGTTGTTGTGAAGATCAAATGGGATAATAAATGTACAGCATTTTGCAGGCTCTAAAAAACTATATGAAAAAATAAATTATTGTTAATAATAACTAATGATATCAATAATGATATTATCAATAATGACAATAATACTACCAAACAGAAAAATCAAGTATATCATTTTGACAAAGGTAAGATTAAATAAACCATATTTCACTGGGAAAGGTCCCTGGGAAATAAAAAAATGGCTATGAGTCATAGGTTGCTGTTTTAAAATGTGACATCAGTGTCATACATAAATTCTTGCAAAAAAAGGGGAGAAAACACTCTTACATGTTACTTCTTCAAGTTTCAACCATCTCAATGGGGAAAAAAACAAAGCAAACAACACAAAAAACTTCTACACGTACTAAAAAGAAAAAGGAACAAAGAAGATTAGAGCCTTGAATATAGGTTTGGTCCAAAGAATTCAAATGCTAACAACAATGTTCCCACACTTGGGGATTATGGGTGTGCCTCTCTTGGGCTCCATATCAATTTTCATATTTTATTAGGAAAGAAAGAAAGCCCTTGTCGTACAAACCTTACGTGAAGGACTCTTCCCTTTTTCTTGGTAGAATGTTTCATTTCATAGTTCAGTCATTCTTTACCCTCAAGATAATACTGCTTGTCCTTTGGTGGACTGGTTCAGGGCTTAAAAATAGTTAGCAGAAAAGAAAATTTTGTAGATTAACTTACCCAAAATTTTGCTGTAGTATAAATCCCATTTTCCCCAGTAGGACTGAAATATATAGTCTTGCAGAGGATAAGATAACATGTTCTTAATTCGTTCTCCAAAGGGCATCTGGTCTGTGAGCTCTGACAAGGCAGCTGGCACATAGGAGACAGGAGCTGGGATTTTCCCACAGTGTCTCTCCACTGTGGAGGCAGGTGTGAACCTCAGGGTGTATATAAACGGAATTCCTATCTTGACAGCAACTAGGTCCCCACAGATGGTCACTGGATCTGCTACTAACACCTCAAACTTTGTCATTTGAATCTTCGCCATTAACCCTTGGTTGTTTAGCACTGCATCACACATTTGCATATTAATTTTAAAAATATTCTCAAATAATTTTCCCAGTCGCTGATAGAATGGCCAGAGGGTCAAAGGGGTTGGCCTATGGTCTAACCAGAGCATAATAAAATCATGAATCAAGGAATCTATATTCTTCTTCCCAAAAGGAACAGGAAACACCTCAAAGTTCACCTGTAAATCAGGACTGGATTTAATGAAGAGAGCACTTTGTGATGTCAGCACAGTGACATTATGATTTCTTTGAACCAGTTCCTCTATAATGATCTTAATATTTAGCCAATGGCTGGCATCTGTGGGCCAAATCAAAATATTCCCACTGAAGACCGTTCCTGTTAGAGTCAAAGGAAGAATAAGTAGCCAAACAGACTTCTTGGACATGATGATACTCACTATAGAAACCACTCTGTCTCCGATGACTAGGATGACTTTCAAAATAGATTTAAGCAGACATCTTTTTCCTCAAAGAAAGCAATAGCTTTATATGGTGTATGTACCTGATTCACAAGTACAATTTAATTCTCTAGGTTAAAAAGAAAAGTAAAAACGTTTCAGATTTCTACAAATTAATGGTTTTTTTTTTAATTTTACCAAACAATCTGAGTTCATTCCCCTCCGCTTTGGTGATGGGCTGGGGGGAAAGAGGACCAGTGATTTCATTAGGAAATCTCTTCGTCAATTTAGCAATTTACCTATAATTATAGCCAATGTGAGTTTAGCTAAGACCCGGAGAAGTTATTGACATACTCATGATCACACAATTAGTATGTGTCAGAATAGTTTTTTCTTACTCCAAGCCCAATCTTCTCTCTTTCTATGCCATCAGTCTCTCAGTTTGGGTCATATCGCCAAAAAGATGAAGATATATGCTATGCAGGAACTTAACTTCATATAAGTTGTACATAAAAGCTATCATTCCAAAAATTTGTCTCTAATCCAAGACATTTTTTTTTTAAATTTATTGATGTGTTCTGTTTTTACATTATATACATTTACAGATTACTCCCACTTTGTAAGAGCTCTCTGATGTCAAAGTAAAAGAATTAAGTAAAAATAATAATACAATGACCTCATCTGAATATGCAAGCAATCACATCTGTAGTATCCTCCCACCTCTACTTTTTTTTAATTAAAAGAAATGTTTTTCATCTCCCTCCCCCCCCAACTCCACTGGGAAAAAAATTTCTCTGAACAAATATTCATAGTCAAGCAAAATAAATTCTCTCAATGGTTGTATACGGTATATTTTATAGATGTATAGACATATATGTTTCCTGCCTTTCTGTTATGGACAGCATGTTTTACCATTAGTCCTCTAGAGCCATGAATGGTCTTTGTATTGATGATGTTCTTACAGCTTCCAAATTTATTGCTTTTACAGTATTGTCATCGTTACTGTTATTGTCACTGGGGGCCCTTTCCAGTTGTCCTGATCTATATCTTGCCACTGGACCCAGATGGCTCTGGAGGAGAAAGTGAGGCTGGTGACTTTGCACAACCCTACCTCACTTAAATCCAATTCACTTGCAAGCCATTGGCATCATCTTTCTGATGTAGTGGTTGTCTTTGAGAATGAAGGGCAAACAGCAACAATATTGTCATCATTGCCCTTCCACCAGTATTGCAGTGGATAGACCACTGGTCCTGGAGTCAGGAAGGGCTGAGTTTAAATTGAACCTCAAACACTTACTAGCTGTATAACCCTGGACAAGTTACTTGACCTCTTTGCCTCAGTTTCCTCATCTATAAAATGGTGTTATAAATAATAGCACCTACTTCCCAGGATTGCTATAAGGACAAATGAGATAAAGAGCACTTAATAGCAAGTATCTGGCACACAATAAATACCATATAAATGTTTGATTATAATGATGATGCATAAATTGCCCCTCTAGTTCTGCTGTTAACTTTACTGCACCAATTCATGGTGGCTAAAGCTACTAAAACTAAAACACTTCTTCAAGTTCAACAAACATTAACTGACCCTCTACAATGTGAAGTAAACAGAGCTAGTTTTTTTTCAGAAAATATAAAAAATGAGCAATAGATTGGACCTGCTCTCAGATATCATGATTTATTAATTCTATTCATTTCAACTCAAAGAACATTTATCAGCACTTACTATATTTAAGAGCACTGGTGACACAAAGACAAAAACTAAGTGCCTGACTCCCTACGTAGGAGTGATGGGGTAAAGTAGGGACTGTGCTGAAGTTGGCTCCTTGGGAGCCCATCTTTAAATTTTCAGTCTGAGCTTTTACTTCTCAGAAATCAGTAAGTGCTACAAATTAGGGTTTGATTTATTGTTTGTTGATTGTTTAGACTTCAGAAAGTGATAAGGGAAATGTTAATAATGCAGATTAAACTTAAAACAATTTCCTATGCACACATTTTTCTGGAAGCTGATTGTTAAGCACTTACCAGCATACCCCTAGGTACAACTCCATACAAATAAGTAAATACAAGCTTATTTGAGGAAGCAGAGATCACTAAAAATGTGTGTGTGTAATAGAATAAAAAGGTCTGAATGATGTGGTTAGAGTTCTGGACTTGAAGTCAGAAAGACCTAACTTTGAATCCTTCCTCAGACACTCACTAGCTATGTGACCCTGGAGAAGTCAATTGACCTCTCTGGATCTCAGCTTATTCATCTGTAAAATAAAGGAGGGGGTTGGACTTGGTGACCTCTCAGAAAATCTATGTGACCACGACCCCATAATTTGGGACTGATTTGCTATTGGCAGGTGGGGGTGGGGTGGGACAGGGCAATAAGAAAAGATAAGAGTCAGAGATGACTTTAAGGTTATTAGTCTGAGTAACTAGACAGTTGGGAGGCAAATTTCAGCTCAATATAAGCAAAAACCTCCCTGTTAGAGTTGTCCCTATTACTAAATATGGTGATGGTAAAGGAGATATCTTCAAATGGAAAACAATGACTAGTCAAAGCTATTGTAGACATTTCATACTTTGGTTGGGTTTGGTTTCATACTAGTTTGGTCAACTAGAGGTCAACTAGTTGACCTCTGAGATCCCTTTCAATACTTTAATTCTAACCATTCAAGTACTTGAAAACAACTACCACACCCCCTTTCATGCCTCTTTTCTCCAAACTAAATATCCCTACATGTGACAACCAGTATTCTAATGGCATCTCCTTTACCATCATGGCCTCCCATCTCCTTGAAGCAGTACAGCTTGTCAATGCTTTTCCTTTTGAATGGCCCTCAACACTTAACACAGAAGTCCTCTAACCATGGCTAGAGAGGGATTATCACTTCCTCTGGTATAAGGAGAAGAACACTAGACTTGGAATTACAAGTGATCTGAGTTGGAATTCCATTGCTGACATGGGCAAGCTACGCAATTGTGGACAAATTATTTAACTGATGTAGCCTCAGTTTCCTCATCTTGAAAATGAGAATAATAACTTTTTCTCTTACCTCACAGGTTTGTTGTGAGGATCAAATAACATCAAATATATAAAAATGTTCAAATATTAAAACTCTACAGAAATGCTAGGTATTATTATTAATTAAATCTTAGGAACTTCAAAGCAGATAACATGTAGGCAGAGGTTCTTAACCTTTTAATAAATTATGGCAGTCTGGTGACATCTGTCTTCTCCCTTTCAGAATGCGGCTTTTAAATATGTAAAATAGAATATTTTGGATTACAAAGGAAAAGACTTATATGGAAACAGAGTTATTAATTTTTTTTTTACAACAAGTTCACAGGGCAGCTAGGTGGCACAATGGATAGAGTTCTGGCCTTGGAGTGAGGAGGACCTGAGTTCAAATCCAGCCTCAGACACATAACACTTACTAGCTCTGTGACTCTGGGCAAGTAACTTAACCCCAACTGCGTCATCAAAAAAAAAAAAAAGTTCACAGACCCCAGGGTTAAGGACCCCTATAACTAAGGGATCATTCTTGACTGACTTTATTTTGTCAAACAACTTGTTTGGAATTAAGTATCCAAAAAAGGAAACTACTTTTCAGACATGAAAGAAGAAAGTAATTTTCAATAATAAAAAATATTTCATCTCATTGGTCACTTTGAAACTTTTAATAACAAATCAACAAGGAAATAGATACTCTATGCTTCATATTCCCTGGATGTTTATGTTTATAAACATATTCTACTTGTTTCAACACTTTAGCCACCTATAATTATGGCATCCAAGTGGGTACTTCCTTTACTTAACTCAGATCATACAACTCTTCTAATCTCCCTTCTGAGGACAAGCCTCTCCAAAGTTATCTATACTAGTGCTTGAACAGCAGATATATCATTTATAGCCAGACTCAACACTTACCAAGCTATGCTCTGCTGGCATGGACTTCAAGAACCCAAAGTTGCCTTCATGCTCCAAAGGAGCATCTGAATTTGTGGGTGAATTATTATCAAAAAAAAGAAAACTTTAGAAAGATATTCCCAAACCTTGACAAATTTCATTGTTTGATAACAATAACAACATAACACATAACATAACACATAACAGCTGAAAACTCTCAGAAAAGATGAAGAAAACCACAAAGTTCCAGCATGAAGCAAGACGACATCTATTTAAAAAGATATAAATTGCCAGGCATGGTAGCATAGACTTATGGTCCCTGCTTCTGGAGAGGTTGATTCTGGTAGGATCATTTGAGTTCTAGAGTTCTGAGCTGTAGTAATGCTAAGGCTCATCGAGTGTTGGCACTATCTGACACCAATTTTGTAATTCCCCAGAGGCAGAGGGCCACTAGGCCACGAAAGCAGGGATGAACTGTCCCAAGTTAGAAAAATGGATCAGGTTAAAGCCTCCTTACTGATCAGCTGCGGAATCAGGCCCACAAATGGCTACTATAGGTCCAATCTTTGATCACAGATCTAAATTTTTTAAAAAATTACATGTCATTAAAAATACATACACTGATATCTAGGCTGATTTCAAATCCTTTTTTAAAAGCTTTGGAGTCAAATTCTCTTTTCCCTGTACGCATTGTTTACTTTAAGACAGAAGGCTCAGGAGATTAAAAGCCTCAGAGAAAACATTTCAAAGTTTTGTTTATTCCCTATTTGGGAAATATATAGTTATTAAAGAATGTGTAATATCTCTGCCTGGATTTTATATAGAGCTCTCTGAGTTTCTAATTTTTTTTAAGAGACATAAATAAATTCTTAGTTCTATACATAAAAATTTCAAAATGGATTCTGCCTTACAACCCAACATTCCATGAAATACCCTCACCTGGAAGTCCCTTATCCTTTAAGGCTCCCCAAGAGCTGCAGCCCATACTTTTCATCAACATCACCACTATATAATCCTAGAATCTTAGAATCAGAAGGCATCTTTAAGGCATCATGGAGTCGAACCTCTACCCAAAGGCAAGAGTCCCTTCTATTACAGCCTCTGCTTTTGCACCTTTTCCTCATCAGTGAAATGAGACAGTTGGAATAAGTTCCTTTCAG